CACACACACACACACACACACACACACACACACACACACACACACACACACACACACACACACACACACACACTACGTTCACTTTGCTGCTGTCATGTCAAGGCACTTGTTGCCTGTCTGCTTTATTGTAGTGACACCAACACCGCTACTCCTGAATGTCCCTGGTGTGCAACCTGTGGCGTGTGTGCCAACCCCCGCCCCCCATCTCCCTCCACCCTCCACGGACGAAACTTTTTTTTTCAAGTCGAAACATTTAACCTATAAAATATGTATTAATGAACACGTGAGGCATAATTTTTCGTAAAATTGGACATTCTCAAATGGATAATCATGATGTTTTTCCCTGTTTGACGCAAATATCACAGACGAAAATATATTAGCTTGGATTGAAAATAAATGAATGCAAATAAAAATCATCAGGGCTCGTCCTACCTGAGTGAACATGGGCGGGCGTGCAATCTGTGGCACATGGGCCGTAAGTGGCCCCCCTCATGCATTTTATCCAAACTAAACCACCTATTGTTCAGTCTGAACGTTTAACCCAATCTCTATTGAGCCACTGCAGATATTTGACATATAGATAAAAAATAAATACAAATAATCTCAACACACAACCAAACTAAAATGTCACAAAAAGTGGATATTCTCTGACCTTCTGCCATCGAATGGGAGAGTTGAATTATTCGAGCTGTCACTATATGTCGCTGGCATGGATAGAATCGATGCGCAATGTATGGCACGCGTGCCATTAATGTTTATGAACACAAAGATTTAGCCTACACTGTAACATCAATCATCATGATTAGTCTGTGTCATCATATTTTGTGATAAATTTTCTCCGTTGACTCTGTCAAACCCAAATGGCTCCTGATGGGGAAAGAAACTTCACCAATCCTTGCTGTTATCAGGCGGATAGGCAGCTACGAATACTGCCTGCCTAAAAAAAAAAAAGAAACAAAACAAAACAAAAGAAAAGAAACTTCCAACAAGTCTCATTCTTGTCACTTTTGGTCATAAAATGGATCCCCAGAGGACTTTGGAAAACTCAAATGACATCTTTGAAAGGCATGCTTACACAAAAATAGCTTGTCAACAATTTTCATCAACTGTGCTTTATTTACAAAGTCAAAGAGCTGCTGATAGATAGCTACAAATATTGCCTGACTAAAATTACAGTAAAACGACAAAATGTTTTTTTTTTGCTTGACCATTATCATATTTTTCATGAATATGATTAAATGGTTATATAACTAAGTCACTCTTGAAAGGACTGTTTGTTTGTTTTTTTCTAAACTGCTGTAAAACGTTTTTTTCTTTTACTCTGGCGATCTATGAAGGGTATGTTCTGAAAAGGGTCCTCCATCACTCCCCCTTGAGTTGAAACTACATTACAATCGTTTGTGATTGAAAATATCTCCTGAGTAACTAATAATAATGATAATAATAATAATAATAATAACAGAAATAACATTGCTCATTCAACAAGCATGGATTCAGGCATGGTGTAAAACGTGTGGCACGTGGGCCATCTATGGGCCCGTCATTGCATTTGATCTGGACCCTTGAACAAAACCACTTGTTATAAAACCTGTAAACGTTGGACCCATGTAAACATTTACTCTCACCTTTTGTTTTTGTTTTCATAAAAGCCAGCCGCACTGGACTTCAAAACTCAAATGGCTCAAAGTGGGAAAATGTTAACCAAACATTGCCTTACTGAAAAAAAAACGAGAGAGACAGAGATTGTAGCCCTCCTTTTTTGCTTTTATTTGTGGCCTCAAAATGTTGAGTCACACACACACACACACACACACACACACACACACACACACACACACACACACACACACACACACACACACTTAGTGGCCGCTTTATGCATTATTCATATTATTTGCTCACATGACCTAAAAATCTGTTAAATAATTTTGACTCCCGAGGGGCCTCATGCTCCTTTATTTTTTTCGTCTATCATGTAAGTGTGTGTGGTTATGATTGAGTTAGTGTAGGTGGCGTGGGGGTGCGCGTGGAAGGGGGGGGGTCTGCCCCTGGGGTCTTGCCTGCTCCTCGATGCTTTCTTGTACTACACTAATATCCTTGATTGGCTCTCTCAACCCAACAGCTGAAGGTCAAATTGATATCCCCCCCCCCCCAAAAAAAGCGCAAGTGTAATTAGACAGGCCCAATTACATGTGCTCTGAAAGCCTTCTTGCTGTAGCAGGAGTTGATTTCTGCTTAATTTATTCGCACTGTCCCGTGTGTCTGCCTGTAAGCGCGTGCGCGCGGGTGCGCGTGGGCGCGCGCTACCGTGTGCATAGAAAAGCGGATGGCGAAGATTAAAGTCTGTGCGCTGGGCTTCACACCTTGCACAATGCAAACAAACTTGGCCTTACGCACACACACACACACACACACACACACACACACACACACACACACACACACACACACACACACACACACGCACACACGACAATGATAGAGTTGTAATCCAGCATCTGTTCACAAATACAGTTTTTCATGATATATATTCGGAATGTGTGTTGCGGTTTTTAATTTCCTGACGTTTTTGTTTGTGTTCGTTTTATGGTTCTACTTTCTGTGCTAAGCCTGCGGTTTCATATCGTATAGCCCTCACTCTCAAAATTGTACATTTTTTGGCGGGGGGGGGGGGGGTGGCGTTCTTTTCAGTATTGGTTCCTCCAACACGCAATTTTGTTTTTTTATTGGGTTTTGTAGTTTTTCGTTTTGTATGCTCACATTTGCACTCTGTGTGTACGGTATGTAATGGCACAAATATGCCAATCGCTTCATTTTGTTTTTATTGTGCATTTAACTTTTTTTTATTTTATTTATTTATTTTTTTTAATAGCTGACGGTGGACATAAGTTGTGCAATCTGCGGGTGCTGGGCTATGTCTGCGTCCATGAGAGCATTTGATGTGGACCACCCTGCAACGTTTTAAAAAAGTTAATTGTGGAAATCAAAATCCATTCAACACATTTGATTCGTTTTTTCTTTTTTTGAACCGGTATTTTTTTGAGGCGCGTTTGTATATTTATTTTGTCGTGTTTTTGATTCTAATACCGTACCAAATATCTGAAAGCTCCCAATGCACTAATTTTCTACACTTAACGTCTACATATTTTCATTTCTATCTTTAAATTTCTTTTTTTTTTAATATACAACAAATTATGATGCATCTATTCGCAAACAAGCACTTAATGACGTGTAAAGGTGTACCTTATTTTCATGTTTTTATTTCATGTTTTTTTTATTTTTTTACGTCTACTTTGTTGATAGAATGACTTTTCATCACATTCGGTTGTTTGATTTTTAACGTATTGCTTGGAATTCATTTTTGCACTTTGAAATGTTTGCCTCTTGTCTCACTTTTTAAAAAATAGAGAATGTTGTGTGTAAAATGGGGCCCACGGGGTAATATCCGGTTCATGTTAACATATTTCTCCAAAAGCCACAAATACATTTTTAACCCCAACATGCTGAAAAAGCATATTAAACAATTACTGCACCCCCTCCCACACACACACACCCAACACACACAATAATTCTCCAGAACATGGAGGTTGACGTCCCGCTGCGGTTTAAAATCAAATCACTTAAATTGAACTTTTTCTTTGTTTTGTTTCGTGTGTGCGCGTGTGTGTGTGTGTGTGTGTGTGTGTGTGTGTGTGTGTGTGTGTGTGTGTGTGTGTGTGTGTTTCTGCACGTGTGTGGGCTGCAGGTGAGAAGCCGTTCAAGTGCGAGTTCGCTGGCTGCGACCGGCGCTTCGCCAACAGCAGCGACCGCAAGAAGCACTCGCACGTGCACACGTCCGACAAGCCGTACAACTGCAAAGTGCGCGGCTGCGACAAGTCCTACACGCACCCGAGTTCGCTGCGCAAACACATGAAGGTGCACTGCAAATCCCCGCCGCCTCCCAGCTCCGGCTACGAGTCGTCCACCCCATCCCTGGTGTCCCCATCATCGGACCCGGGCCGGGAGCCGCCACCGCCACCCCCTGGAGGGGGCCCGAACCCCGCTCCCTCCTCACACCCGGCCAACCTGAGCGAGTGGTACGTGTGCCACAGCTCCGGGGCCAGCGGGGCCCACAGTGGGCCCTCCACGCCGGACTCGGCCACTGAGGACGACGGACCCCCGTACAGGGAACGAGACCCGAGGGACAATTTATAGACTCACTGCGACCCCCTCCCCTGCCCCCCCTCCTCCAAAAAGGGAGCACAAAAAAACTTGTTTTTATGGACCGAATCGTGTTCCAATCATCTGTGGACTTTGTGGTGCATTCATGTAGTGCAGGGGTGGGCAAACTGTTGTGCTCCTGGGCCACGGTGCTCATATATATACATTTTTATATATATATATATATATATATATACACAGAGAGAGAGAGAGCGAGTAAGTTATGTTTGGGGGAGCAGTAAAGTACTGTACAATGTTTTGTAAGTATTTAAAACAACCCCATCTTGACAATTTTGCTGTTTAACACTTTTTAAAGTGGCAACGTGGCCATTGTCATTTGTAGATAGTTGGGGCGGAGTCAAGTCATTTGTAATTTTCTACGTCCGATTTGGTTGAAAAAAATAATAAGCTTTTTTTTTTAAAGATATATTTTTTAAATATAGGCTGTATTTTTTAAAACGGACATCTTTCGTATATTTCTCGAAACAAACAAACACTTTTTGACATGGCCCATCTGTCTGTTTACAAAAAACAAACTTGGTCCTTTACATAATTCACGTTTCAGAACTTAATCTTGATTTATTTACTAATATTTAAATTAATGGGAATGTGTATCATTCTTTAGATTGCTAAGATTGAATTGTATCGTTTAGAGTAATTCGTTCAAGATACAATTGAATCGCAAATGAATACTCCAATCATCTGTGGACGTTGTGGTGCATTCATGTAGTGCAGGGGTGGGCAAACTGTTGTGCTCCTGGGCCACGGTGGATTTTTTTTTCTATTTTTTTTTTTCACTGACACATGGGACAGATTATTGGCAGATGAGGTTTAAAAAAAAGGAGGAAAGATTTGAACGCTTCTCGCTATTTAAAACAACCCCATCTTGACAATTTTGCTGTTTAACACTTTTTAAAGTGGCAACGTGGCCATTGTCATTTGTAGATAGTTGGGGCGGAGTCAAGTCATTTGTAATTTTCTACGTCCGATTTGGTTGAAAAAAATAATAAGCTTTTTTTTTTAAAGATATATTTTTTAAATATAGGCTGTATTTTTTAAAACGGACATCTTTCGTATATTTCTCGAAACAAACAAACACTTTTTGACATGGCCCATCTGTCTGTTTACAAAAAACAAACTTGGTCCTTTACATAATTCACGTTTCAGAACTTAATCTTGATTTATTTACTAATATTTAAATTAATGGGAATGTGTATCATTCTTTAGATTGCTAAGATTGAATTGTATCGTTTAGAGTAATTCGTTCAAGATACAATTGAATCGCAAATGAATAAACACTGACGAATAATTTACAAATACGATGTCCTGAAGCCATTTTATTTATTTACTTTTTTGCTACAACTGCTACAACAACAAAAAAGTTTGCCATCCTTTGCCCACCCCGACGTAGACTTTTTTTGGGCATGCTTTCTGTGCAATGCATTCGTTTTTTTTTAAATTGTAAATATATTTTTCTTAATTTATTTTTCAATCTGGTTTTGCATTCAAGAACCAAAGTGCACGTTTGTGAAACTCCTTGAGGCCAAAATGTAAATTTTGTACAACTTTTTTTGAAATGTTGTCCATGTTCGTTTGTTTTTTGTTTTTTTTGTTTGTTTTTTTTTGTACGCGGGCCGTTTTTTTTTGTTGTTGTTGACGCGTCCCGCTTTTTATGCAGCGGCGCGTCCAACTTTTTGCTTTTGAAATACTGAGCGTGAAATTGTAAACGTTGGAACACGTTTTTGTGGCTTTTGTACTAGGTCAGGTTCTTTTTTTTTTGTTCTTCCCCAGCTTCGAGCAGCTCTCACAAGTCGCGTACCTAACTGCCTTGTCTTTTGTGAGTATTTTCAATAAATCTTGACGAATTCATGTAAAGTTCTCCTTTTGGTGCATTTTTGCAAAGTCACGTGCTCTTGTGTTCACTTCTTCCGTTGTTCGGCGGACTTTTTTTGTTGTCTTTTCAATGTGACTCGCACTGATTTTTGTAAAGAGTGTTTTTTTTTTCAGAAAGAAGGATGTCGTGTTTTATTTAAAATTGCTTTGAGAGTATTTTTCATACAGAAAATGTTTTTCGTGGTTGCTTGTTTCGTTTTTTTTTGTTTTTTTTTGCAGGAGGGAGGGGCCTTTTTAGTGTCTTATTTTTTTCCAAATGTCATTTTTCATAAATGTATTTATTTCCCAAAAGGGGCGTGTCTTGTCTTATTTATTTTTGCTGGAATTTGCGTCGCCTTAAGAGTAGAGTCTGAGGGGGTTTTTACGTCATATTTTTTGCATCTTGTCTTTTTTACACCCCCTTTTTGCAGAAGTCTTTTGATGCTTTGTATTTGTTATTTATGAACGCATTTATTTACCCACGAGAAGTCTGTATATTTTTTTGGGGGGGGGGGTGGCTTAATTTAAATTTTCTATTTGCTGAATCTTTTATGCAAGTTTGGCTCTTTATTAGACTTTGTGGAGGGGGGGGGGTGGACCCATGTGTTAAGCATTTTTAATTCCGTTTATTATTTTTCTGCATCCTGTGTTTCGTCTTTCACTTCACTTTCATTGTACTAATGTCGATGTTTTGTCAAAAGTTAAGCTCTGAGAAAGGAGTTGGGTGTTTTTTTTTTCACCTCTTTACGTGTCTTTTGTATGCAGAACGTGCGTGTGTTAAGTGTTAACTTGTCGTGGCGACGGATGCCAAGCAACACTAACCGCTTAGCCGAACTTCAAAGTGCATCGAGATACAAAAGGAGCAGTTTTTTTGAACCCTTCTTCTTTTTTT